AGAAGAAAAAGATGTTATGATATCTGCTCCTATTTACAAAAAATATTAATTTCAAACAATAAACCAAATAATAAAACAAAACAATACAAATAAATTAAAATTAAATGCAGCAGAAGAAGAAAAAGATGTTATGATATCTGCTCCTATTTACAAAAAATATTAATTTCAGACAATAAAAAAATAATAAAACAAAACAAAAAATTCAACTCCTCAAACAGTGAGTCATACAAATTAAACAATTTCATATTTCTTTAACAATTTTGCTTTGATCATTTTTTAAAGGAATTAATTGATCCAATGCTTTTATAATCATTTTCCAGATTATTCTATAGTCTTTTACAGAAACCAGCTCACTTTGTCATACCAGGACAGCTGAAAAGACCTGTTATTTCCCCACTGTGGGATCAATAAAGATTTTTTTATCTTACTTTTCCACACCTTTTGCACCAAATTAATCTGAAGAGTTGATCAGCCCTGCTGTTTAACTCTAAGTTTTTCTTCGTAAGGAAGAAGACTATCAAATGGCATTGCCGAATCCGGTCCACAACATTCAAACTGTCTGCCATATGTGCAGCTTGTTACAGGTGCAAGGCTAGTGTGAAGTGTGTCCGCCTGCGAGTACTTTGTGACGTGAAGGGGCTCAGCTGCACCCGCTGGACAGAAGTCAGAAAGAGTGATAGAAGTCCGTCTCCAAACACAAGCAGCTACAAAACAACCACCAGAAATAGAAGCTCGATTTGTCGCAAGTTGTTTTTTACAAAGAAAATGCTGCTAAAAGGATTAATAAAGTATCTGGTTCAACTCAACAGAAATGAAACTAAAAAATGCTCCCACTGAATGTTTACACCAAAAGATCACTGATTCGCTCATTTCGCTGTCAATCAAAAAGAGATTCAGCCTCTGACAGATCATCGAATCGCCCGAGCCAGCCGAGGCCAGCCGAGGCCAGCCCACTTCCCCATAGACCCCAGAGACGCTCAGCGTCCAATGGGTGGGACAAAGCCAGCATTTATCTAATAACTCGTCTCGTTTTGCTGCAGTCTTTGCATCGCTAATGAGCTCTGTGGAAGCTGAGCGTATGCACAGTTTAAAGCACTGTGAAGCTGAGGGAATGAGGGAGAGGAAAGCTGTGTTGTGATAAGAAGCTGATTCTGAACAAAAGTTGAGCGCGTTGTAGCGCATATTCAGTCAATAACATGTACTCACAACATTATATATTTGATCTTTTTTTTTACATTTTAGAGGAAGCTGAGCTTCCCTTGCA